ATGTCAGAAAAAATTAGGAAAGATCATGGCCTTGGCGGGATAGGAATTGGTGTCTGTTGTCTCACTAATTACATCAGCTTCGCAGGCAGACTGGAGTATGAGCTATTTCTGATGAGGCAGTGGAGGCCCCTGGCCTCGGGCACTGCGGTATTGGCGGTGTGCTGACTGCGAGGCCGGATTTCGTTTCTGTGGGAAGTCCTGCTGGTGAAGGAGAACGCACCGGAGGTGCAATGCTCCCCTGTATTTCACGCTGCAAGTCCTTCAGGACGGCTTTGGCATCGAGTGCTTTAGCGTTCTGGTGGCCGGACCCAGGGCTGTGCAGTACCTGACCCCACGTGAGTGGGCATGTGGGGTCCCAGGCTGCCCTGGCAGATGTGTCTGGGAAGTCAGCTGGCTGAGGGTGCTGGGGACCCGGGGAGGTACAGACCACTAACTCAGGGAGCGGAGGCACTGAGCTGAGAAAACCCTCTACACGAGGGTGTCCAGTGTTTCTGAGCACACCAGCCACATAACAACCTCTCTGTTTGCCCAGACCTGAGCACCTGCAGCACGCGTCCCACCACCCCGCGGGCACACCTCCGGCAGCGGCAGCACTCTTAAGCAAATGCCGCTCCAGCGCAAGGTCGCACTGGTCGGCAATTTCTGTTGGTTTCACTGGGAACCAGGAGCGTTGGCTCAGCTGGGCCCCGGCCAGGGTGCCATTCCCAGACAGCCCTGCCCGCCGCTGCCCGCAGCAGGACCGCGGTGCTGGTACCAGCCCATGCAGCTCCTGGGCTGCAGGGCTCTCCAGAGCTACAGCTTGCCACCCTCACAGGACGCACCCTACGCATTCTCTGCAAAACTAAAGGCGAAGAAAAAACATGTTAGGTTCCTAATGGCAGTGCCCAAAGGTACTATATCTGAAGATAACATCAAGAGAGAGAGCCAGCGCAAGTTCTCTTCACACAAACTATTTCCCAGAGGCTAATGGCAAGGGGGAGAGAGAGAGAGAAACAAGTACTGACAGTTTACTGTAGGAGCTCAAAGAAAAAGTGGACAAAGCTAAAAGAACTCCAGCTCTTTGTTCACATTTAATCCAGTTCAGAGCATTCACTGGTGCATGCAGATTTACTTTCCATGGCTGACGGAGCTGGATATGGTCATTTGGTAAGAAACAGAGGATCTAGGATTTAAATTTTGTGCCCTTCAGGCTCTTACATTTTATGAAAAGTCAGTCTATAACGTATATAAAGTTTTAATCTAATGTAAAAAGTGTGAGCTGCTGGCTAATACCTTCAAAGAAACAAATCCTGGCCTTGAAAGGTGAAGAACGCTTTCTGGTTTTAACACAGACCAAGTTTTTCAGGGGTAGAGCACTTCTTCTGGCTCACAGAAACCAGGGGAAAGGCTGAGGACTCCTGTCCCTACCCAAAGAACGCCCCATTTTATTTTCTTCCTTCTCTTTTCAACTCTCATTTTGAATTTATAAAGGCACTGATTTTTCAGAGACTAGTAGAATAATGTAACGGTATTAAAATATCACTGTCCACATATTTTAATGCAAAACAAATAGTCCAAGCACCTGATATCACAGTACAATAAAACTATCAAATCGCCATCGCAGGCTTTTGCTTTTGCTGAGGACAGATGGTTCAAGTTACATGTAGCCTATTTTCTAAAGGCTATAGAGTCAATTCATCTCTGGCTGAATTTGCAAAACACCGCACTGAAAGACAGCACCAGCAAGAAGGATATATATACAAGCACAGAACCAACAAAAGGGTTTGTGGGCGAAAGGTGGAGAGGCTGGGTGTTAGAAAAGGCAGAACTGGAAGGGAAAGCTCAACCGCAGAGTACAGTGGACCCAAATCAGGCAGACGTATTGCGAGTGATTTTAGCACAGCGTATCGGAAACGCGCCCGCAATAAGTCCAAAGAGGTAAGGGAGGGTTAGCCAGTAAGTCTTAGGAAGTGCTATCTAAAAAAACAAAAAAAAATAATGAGAACAATACAGAGACAAAACTCTTTCTCATCCCTCTGCCCGCACCCATCCCTCTCCAAGCATTTTTGGTTATCTAAGAAGGACCCTTAGCACTTTGGCTGAACGAGTTCTCATGTTCAGACAAAACCAGACCTTTTTATCCTAACCGCTTGTGCTCAGGCTTAGCCGAGACCTGAAAAGCAGAAGGTGGTCCTGGTTGGCATCGTGTCACTCGGAGCAGGAGACCAACCCGTGACACGAGGCCGCCTGGTTGCTGAGCTGCTCCAGCCGCTTGCTCAGCTCTTTCCGGTGGCACTACTCATTCTGTCAGAGATTGTTGGCTGAAAATGGGATGTTAATGAAATAAACCAAAAGGCAATTTAGGCTATTTAACTACACTTCAGCAAAAAAAGCCCTACCTTGATAGATGACACTAAGCCGTGATGTATTTTGTATTAATGTTTCAAGTCAATTTGGTGGATCCTGATGGAAGGCGAGTTAGAAATGTTTTGTTGCAAGTTTGAACATCGTACCAGGATATAAGGCCAGCCACTTGAACAAGAGCGGTGAGTGAATTAGGGCTGAGAAATGTATCCCTGGCTAGTTTCAAATTAAAAAAAGAGAGCTTTTAAAAAGGTACAAATGAGGCTAAAAGAATTTATGCTATTTTTCCGGTTTCTGTGCTATAACTCCTTTTCCGTCTCCTCATCTATCTTCTAAGTGTACTACCTTATGAATGAGTGAGCAATAAAAGAAGTATGCAGTGGCTGAGAGAGAAACTCAAGATAACAAGATAATGCAAAACGTAAGCCAAAGCTTGAGCAAGCTGCAGGTTAAGATGTAGATCCGAATATAAAAGTTTCTCACATCTGAATTTTAGGGCAGTCATTAGATAGTTTGCATGAAAAACTAATTTAAAATCAGTAGCACGAAAAATGACTAAGAAAATATGCTAAGGTAACACCTGTCAAAATCTTGGACCTATACTTTCTAGGGGTTTTAATCCAGTTTTCAGACCACACATGCTGACACTTCACTCATAGAATACAATAAAAACAAAGCTATTCTAATGCCTTTGAAATCCCAGTCTTCACTGAAAAGGGGCAGAGGAAGAACAACGAGTAAAGAAGCAACTACAAACTATCCTAAGGTTAGGCGATAGCAGTTACTGTGCTGAGGCGACATGGGAACAGCCTCAAGACCAAAAGGTATGAGAATAATAAGCTACTACATGCAGTCTTTAAAGTACTTGTTTTAAGGCTGCCAAGAAGAGGACTGAGCTGTATTCGCCAGTGTTACCGCACTACTTAACGATTTACTGGCTGCACAAATTAAGACGTGCTCTTTCTCCTTGCCACCCCCAGTGTGTGCTGAGATTTTAGGCTTGAAGTCCCAGCACACAAGTCAAGCCTTTGAGCGGGACTTGGTTCCTTCAGTGCAGGCTGCCACTTCCAGCAGCAGCCAGTGGAAAGACAAGACAGTGTCTGCATGGTAAGAATTCCAAAAGCCCAGAACTGAAGTGGGGGGTTACCGCAAAGGGTTAATTCAAATTTCTATATCACTGACCTCCCTCCAGCCTTCTAGGCTGCCTAGGCTTGGGGCGGCACAGATCAGCTGGGGATTCTCAGGGGAAAAATTATGTGGCCACTCCCTGAACCCAGATAATCCCTCTGGCTGGGCTTTCCACTGCTGGTATCTGCCAGGTTAGGCAGAATTTAATCATCAAAATTATTGTGTTCTCTTTCAAGCAAAGACCAGTGGGAAATTAATTGCTGGAATTAGGTATGTTTTCTAGCATTAACCCAATGTAGCTGCTAAGTGAGCTCACTTATAGGGCTCAGGGCAGACAGCAGGGGCTAAGCTGGTCTCCAGTTTTATTCGGCAAAGACTGGGTTGGTAAACAAACAGCAAGAGGGAGAAGACGCAAGGATAAAGTTTCAAGGGATGTGAAGGTTGAAGGGAAGATGAAGCTTGTTATCTTCAAAAGGAAAGTAGTAACAACTCACGCATAAGCGTGAGAGACCCCTGCGAAGAAGAGAACATGAGACAGGGTGGAGCAAGCCTTGATGTTTAGGTGTTTGAGATGCTTTTACAGTATTAAGGAGGTAGAAAACTCTTAACAAGAATTTATGACAAACAGCGACGCCAATTCCTCATCTTTACTCTTAGCCTTTATGCTCTAAGACAGACCTAGTTTTCTTGGAAAGTATCTGGGGCATTTTGCATGCTCCAGTATCCGCGTGAGAGGAGACAGAACACTTCAAACCCTCCAGAAAGTGCAAAGAACTTAAGACTATGGTATATCAAAATAACACTTAGATTTCCAAATTGGAGCATTAACTTGCATTTAGAACAGGTGATGCCTGTATGAATAAATTGTCATCTGCTCTACTCTGTTGACCAACAGGAGGGTAAGAATTGATAGAGTTTATCAGCTTGTTCACACATTGCACCAGCTTACATCATTTTTCAGGTGCAAGAACTGAAATGCAGGTTATTTTTGAACCTCTGTTCACAACAATCAAGTTCTAGTACCTGTTGTTGAACTTTCGAGGCACCCTGCACATGGCTCATTCATGCAAAGGTGTGATTTTCTGCCAGTTCCTGATTTCACAGCCATATGCCAAAAATTGCAACAACAGACAAATCTGAAGCACTGTACGATCACATGGCAAATGAAAGCGAGGAAAAGCTGTGGTTAAGGAGGGTCCCATTTTACCTTTGGTCTGTGGACTGTGAAATCAGGCAAAGTTGTCTTCCCTGCTTACCGCCAAGTGCAAGGGGGGAATTATCTTTGCAGGCAGGACGCAGTTGTCACTGGTGAGCATTTGCTACCTGGGACAACAGCATCACCAGGCAAGCAAAGCCCCTGGCTTTGATGGGAACGTGGCTTATGTCTGGTGGCAACTTATGCTGGAGAGCAAACCCCTCCACGGCTGTCATTCAATAGGCATCAAATAATCCTGTTTTTTTTTTTTTTTTTTTTTTTTAAGATACTCTAGCTTGTATTAATGCATCATTCTTTGTTCTTCCAAATACAGATTCTGGAAGAAAACATGAAGTTAGAGTGCAAGTGCCATGGGGTCTCGGGATCCTGTACCACTAAAACATGCTGGACAACCCTGCCTAAATTCCGCGAGCTGGGCTACATCCTTAAGGACAAGTACAACGAAGCAGTTCAAGTTGAACCGGTGAGAGCAAGTCGTAACAAGCGTCCAACCTTCCTCAAAATAAAGAAGCCACTTTCCTATCGCAAACCCATGGATACAGATTTAGTGTACATAGAAAAATCTCCCAATTATTGTGAAGAAGACCCTGTCACCGGCAGTGTGGGAACGCAGGGAAGGATGTGCAACAAGACAGCCCAGCAGTCCAATGGCTGCGATCTGATGTGCTGTGGCCGAGGTTACAACACACACCAGTACTCAAGAGTGTGGCAGTGCAACTGCAAATTTCATTGGTGCTGCTATGTAAAATGCAACACATGCAGTGAAAGAACAGAAGTATATACCTGTAAGTGAGTACATGGCTGGGCAGGCTCTGTCCCTGGCCACGAATACATTTGCACATGCACTCAACAAACCTACACAAGACTGTAGGAAAGACCTGCTCTCCCAGAAGAAATGCTGATGAATGGAGCCCTCTCTTTTCTTCTCATGTTTCGTTGCTTATGTGGATACACATTTCAGACTCTTATGAAAGTCAGCCAAGAAACAAAACCGAGCGAACCCCACCCCGAGCCACCTGACACACAAAACAGGGAGAAAAAGATCATCTCCGTTAATCTGCACCTCTAAAGCAAGAAGCATTGACTGCCTTGTGAGAAGACACCAGTCATAGAAAAATCTCTGAGCATGACAACTAACTCTTGGTTTGGAAGAAAGATGGTCAAAAACTTCAGCGTATAAGGAGCAGAGAGGGGTTGGGGAGAAATCCTCCAAAAAGGGCTTTCCATGGGATGGGATGGACAGTGCCCCATCGTGAATTGCTCGTGTGAGTGAGGATGACACAGATTTAGGCTTCTACACTTGTGAAAAGCTTCTGCTGGTCTTGCCCCTCTTGCCACTTCATACCATTTGCTACAGCGAGTAGAACTGTTGAAATTTTCTGTAGACACTGCTTTATCTGCTTTTTTTGTGTGTGTGTGCTGCAGATTTTAGCACAGGGATTTGGGACACTTGGACATAATAATAGCAATATTTAACAATTTATTCAGATAAAACTAATATTAATTTATTTAATTAAAAAGAACTCTACCAACATTTTTGGAACTATTCTGCAATTAAAGTAGATAGCTGGCTTTCTTTGTGGAATAATTTTGTAGAAACAGCAAGGAAAAACTGGAGCTGTATATATAATTCTTAACTAGGATATTTCTATTAGTTGGACTTGCAGGATATGTTCTACAGTACTAGATGTTTAAGTACAAAAGCTGGCATCTTTATATATATGTACATACACAAACACACACTGTTGTTTTTCTTTTTTTTGTTTGTTTTTTGTTTGATTGTTTTTGGTTTTTTGTTTTGTTTTGGGTTTGTTTTTTTTTTTTCCTCCTGTTTGCTGCTAGTTGTCTGGAACAAAAGTCAAGTGGTAGGGGTTACAAATCTTTACCAGGTTTTGGGATTTTTTCTTCAATTAAAGAAAGAAGCATTAATAAAATCCTGTTTGGAATATGCCTAAAAATAAGAAAATCCAGACAAACTTCCATCTTTTGGAAAAAATCAACCATAGGATAAGAGAGTATATTTTGTAAGAGACTATTTTTATATAAATATTTTATTTATACTACGTCTGCTTGTTCAACCTGTACTTTTTCTCAAAACAGGCATACAGTTTGTAATTCTTAGGCTATTTAACGGAGAAAGGGTAATTGGTTTGTGGACACAACAGCAGCAAGCTGGATACATTCAGCTGCAATTGGTGGATGTGTCAGAAAGCAGAATGAACTTTCTCTCCGGATGTGTGTACAAACTGGCTCTTTTCCTGCAGCTCGATTTGCAGAATGTGCAAAACAAGAACAGGGTATGTAGCATCAATTTTGTCACATGGCTTGAATTCATGATTGGTATTAACTGGATGCTCATTTATCCCATTCAAGAAAAAAAAATCCGAATTAGCTTCCCACATGCGTCAGTCATTAAACTGTGGCGTTATGACTAGCAAATGTGCTGTGTGTGCTCTCAGTTAAACCTCTATATTGTGTTACTGTCAAATTTGATTTTAATCAGTGGAAGACTGTAGACTATGACTGTAAAAACTAGCATGCCACACATCATCTGATTCTCATAGATAGGATACAAAGCTTACTTTTTGTCCAACTCTTTTTGGCATTTACATTATTCTTTCCCCCCAAAAGGCCAGAGAGCTCAAAAATCCAGAAAAACATCTAGGCAAATTTAAAGACCGCTCACTTGTTTTTCAGAGCCCAGCTAGGCCATTTTGCGTTCCCCTTACAGTATTTCCTTTTTATCACTGCTAATTTCTTCAGATATTTGAGTGGCAAACATCTCTCTGTTTTTAGAACCATTCTGCTCCTCCTGCTTGCCTCGTTTGTGACCGATAAAAAAGTAATCCAATTTGTGTGTTGTTTTAGATTGGGTAAGAAACACGCCCCAGTGCTACCGATGATATTGCGTGTTCTGTCTGGGACAGGCCAGATTCTTCCCTGCTGCCAGACTACAGGATCTCATGCCTTTAATGAGGTGAAGAGCGGCATCGATAAACGAAAAAACCACCACCCAACACGCGTTTCACTGGCTCCTCTCGATAAGAGCACGTCGTTACAAGGAGCAGATGATCTATCTGTGTCCATTGGTCTTTCTGAGGCAAAACTCCCACCTAAGACTGCAAAAACCTTAGAACTTGTCTGAATGTGGCATGGTGATTTTTTTAAACTCACTTCTTGTGCATTCGTTATTTATGTAAGAACACAAGCCCATGCAGTACCTGACCCTAGCAGCGTATAATTAGGATACAGTTTATTTGCAGACCTGCCACTTAACACAAAATAGAACTTGTATGCAATTCAGACACCAGCATGAGATATCAAAGAAAAATGATTAACATACTTTACTTTCACACTTATGACTTGTCAATATAAAGCAATATGAAAACTATTTTTTGAGTAATTGAGTCACTGCTTTTAGTCCTTTTAAATTCCACACATCAAGAATTGATAAGACATAAAATGCAATGAAATACATGCAGTATGGATGTTAGTTACAACACTATATTATTATATTTAAATAATTCAGATCTAACATTTAATTTTGGAATCTCCCCCCTCCTCCCCAATTTGTGTTGGTTTTTTTACTTAGTGGATACCATATCATAGTCAAAAGTGTGTTTTCTTCACTGACTAGAGTTATTTTACAAATTATTATTTTTGCAGTATGTTTTACCATAGAAAAGGAATCTGTAAAACTCCTGCTTCCTGTATATTCCAGTATGCAGTGATGTGCAATATACAGCTAGCAGATTAGTTACTGAAGGACAAACATCTTTAAACAGTTTCACTCACAATAATAAAGAACTGGATGCACAATGAAATGAATTTGGTACACATTTTCCCTATATTGTACAGTATTGCTGATGATCAGTGCGTTAATTAGAGAAAATGTCCATGTGTTTGGTAAATGGAATAACAGTTTGGGAATTAAAGAGCAAAGAAAACCAAACGCTGCATTCAACTAGAAAGTATTTGGGAATTTGGCTGTGTCATCTTAGATAGGACAAATCTGGCCCAACAGAATCTGCCATGAGTCTGGAGTTAACTGGTCATTCTCTAAATGGACTTGAATGGCATGAAGAACAAGCAGGAGAAGGAGAAAGACTTACGATTTTGTAGATATTCCTCCCCCCAACAACAGTTTGTTCTTTGTCCTCAGGGATCGAAGAGCTCTGTTTTTACTTGGTGAAGAACCACACAATGGGAGCGAAATGCACACAACTGCAGAACAATACAGCTCGCAAAAGAAATACATCTTTTCATCTCTACTAACCAAGGGAAGATGTCCCCATTAATAATCTGGCTGGGGCTTTTAAACAAAACATACATTCAAGAAGCAGGAAGAGTAAGAGGAGTAGGAAGGTAGAAAGCGTAAGAGAACAAGTGTAACTGCAAGTTGGGAAGCTATTATTCATGAAATCTCACTTCCTCGTTTGATAGCGGAACCCTGATTCATGGAAATGAAGCAGTTCTGCCTTGGAATTCCTAAGCAAGTTTTAAGGATTTTACCTCTTGGCCTTTTTAAAAGGACAACTAACCTGAATAAAATTAGCTTGAATACTCAATGTACCTACATAGAACATGAATCAGTCAATGATTAAGTTTTCTTTGCCATGTATGCACAAACCTAATGGAGATATGTCTTTTAACAGTGATAATTAAACTGAAAACATCCTTAAAACACACTCTTAAGTGGCTCATTTGGTAAAGTTATTGTAAGGGTATATAGTTACTTAGAAAAGGAAAATAATGGACACAGACCATATTACACAAGGCTCTTAATGAACTTGTGGATCTTGTGGATTAGAAAACTCTTTTTAACTGACCACACTTAAAAATCAATTTGCTGAATGCAGAAACATTGCAGGCTGTAGTCAGAGTGCACATATTCAAATGAAGACTTGGCATAAGTATCTCTGACAGCATTTTTACATTTGTTACCATAATAAATATCAGGAAATATGCGCTATGAACGTCCAAAATGAGTGTATTAATTAATACAGCCCCCCGCCCCCAACTTTAACCCCAAGAAGTCAGCTGAGCAAGCGGCTCTCCAACTCTGCTGTTGGTAGAAGGACTAAACTGGACATGCCTAGACAGGGCTGGCCAAATCTGGAAGATACTGCTGCTGCCAACTGACAGGGATACAGTCCAAGTCAGGCTTGAATGTCCCAAAACTGCCCCAAATTGAACCAAGTACAGGGATTTTATCACACAGAAGAACCTCAGATGATGAAACTCATTCAGATTCCAAAACATCCCCCCTTTAATTCACAGTTATCTCAGATAGTTGTCACTATGGCAAGTGACCTAATTTGCTAACCCAGTTCATGTTCTTCTGGTCAAAATCATACCAATAATTCCTCAAAGGCAGGCATTTTAATCCTGAACAAAAATTAAGGGAATCTTTCCTCTGGAACCAAACAATCAATAACATATGATTCAGTCAAAATGATGAAGAGATGTACTTGGATCTAAAGGACTCCAGGTGTTTGAAGAAGGATACCAGAACTTCATGATTCTCTTGTCCAGAGGTGGTGCTGTAAAACACTAAAGGCTTGTTTTGATGCTTTGGAGTTTTATGAAATTACTGGTTTTTCCATTTTGTTGTTATTACATATTCATAGATTCATCAATAGCACATATCACGTAATTTGCAACTGGGAGGTCAGAAACAAGTCCCAAAGAAATCTCACTTCTAAGTGTAGCACAATATATTTACTCAAGGTGCTCTCAGGTTCACATAATTCCTTACTTTCATCTTGTATTTTTGTTAGCAAAGCCACTGCATCACGCTCCTGTTAGGAAAGATGCCTGCTTTGTAAAGAGGTTTGATATCTCTGGGAGAAGATGAGATTATATTTACCTTAGAGAAGTGTTTCCAGGGTTGTATGTGCACAAAAACCCCCA